CAGGGCCTGCTACCTTCAACTTACCAAGAAGATTAGTAAAACAGAGTTACGTGTGGACACCATCACCACCAAGGCCTTGGAGGAGGAAGAAGGTAGACCGAGGGCTGAGCCTGCCGAGGAGACCGAAGACTTGATACTCGATCCGGACAAGCCGGAGAGAGTCCTGAAGATTGGAGCCAAGCTCCCCGAAGACCTGAAGGCTGACATCACCAAAGCTCTCCGCGCCTACTCCATTGTTTTTGCATGGGGGCCGGAGGATATGCCAGGAATTGACCGAAGGGTTATCGCCCACCGCCTAGCGGTGGACCCTTCGGCCAAACCAGTGCAACAGCGAAGAAGACCCCTCTCGGCCGAGAGAAGGGAATTTGTGAAGAAGGAGGTATCTATGCTCCTCTCCATCAAACACATTAAAGAGGTGAAATACCCTTCTTGGTTGGCGAACGTAGTCCTCGCCCAGAAGCCTCCCACCTTCCGCATGTGCGTGGACTACACGGATCTGAACAAGGCATGCCCCATGGACCCCTTCCCACTGCCAAACATTGACCAATTGGTGGATGAGACCGCCGGATGCGAAATTATGTCATTCCTCGACGCATTCCGCGGATATCATCAAATCTACATGCATGAGGAAGACGCTGAAAAAACTGCCTTCATGACACCCGAAGGCATCTTCTGTTATCTTGTGATGGCCTTCGGCCTAAAAAATTCAGGCGCCACCTACACACGCATGGTGGCTAGGGTTTTTCAAGCTGTCCTAGGACGCACCATGGAGGCTTACGGTGACGACATGATCGTCAAAAGCAAGAAGGCAAGCACTCACGCCGATGACCTTCGGGAAATCTTTGCCATCATGCAAAAATTCAATCTCCAGCTGAATCCAAAGAAATGCACCTTCGGCGTGCAAGGGGGAAAGTTCTTAGGCTACATGGTCAGCCGAAGGGGTATTGAGGCCAACCCCGAGAAGATTCAGGCCATCATCAACATGGAGCCTCCACGCAATGTCAAAGAAGTTCAACGGCTGACGGGTCGCCTGGCGGCCCTCAACCGATTCCTCTCTAGGTCAGCCGAGAGGGCCCTCCCCTTCTTCCAAATCATGAGGAAGACGGCGGGTTTTCAATGGACATCTGAGTGTCAAGAGGCCTTCGACGAACTCAAGAAGTACCTCTCTTCTCCCCCGGTGCTCTCCAAACCAAAGGTGGGGGAGACTTTATACTTGTATCTCGGCGTTAGCCCTGCGGCCATCAGTTCAGTGCTAATCCGAGAAGAAGACGGCGTTCAACATGCCATCTTCTACGTCAACAAAACCCTCCGGGAGGCCGAGCTCAGGTATTCTCCCGTCGAGAAGACGGTGCTAGCCATCGTTTGGACCGTCAAGAAGCTTGGCCACTACTTCCAAGCTCATCCGGTCCAAGTGCTCACTCATCAACCCCTCGGCGCCCTCATGAGAAGTCCCACTAGCTCCTCCCGGATGGTAAAATGGGCCATCTTCCTCAGCCAATACAACATAGATATCCGCCCGAGGCCTGCCATCAAGGGCCAAGCCCTGGCAGACTTCGTAACGGAATGCACCGCGAGATCAGCGGTGGATGAGGAGCCTTCGGCACCCTTTCATGAGTGGTGGACCCTCTATACCGACGGCTCCTCGGCCACCAAAGCATGCGGAGGGGGAGTAGTTCTCATCACACCCGAGGGCTTCCGCGCCTATTATGCCATCCGCTTCTCCTTCAAAGTCTCCAACAACGAAGCCGAGTACGAAGCCCTCCTCTGTGGCCTTCGGCTGGCGGCGAATCTGAAGGCTAAAATGATCCACGTCAAATGTGACTCCAAACTTGTCGTGGGTCAAATTTCCGGGGAGTACGAAGCCAAGGAAGGAAGGATGAAGCAATACAAGGAGGCTGCCAAGGAGTTGCTTGAAGTATTCGAGGCACATTCCCTTACCCAAATACCGAGGGCTCAAAACTCCGACGCCGACATTCTATCCAAACTTTCGGATGAATCCCCCGAACACCTCTCAAAAATTGCAAGAATTGAGGAACTTAGCCTCTCAAGCATCCACGCGAGCCCCGTCATGAGCATTAACCCAAGGCCGGAGGACTGGATCTCTGACATCATCGCCTTCATCACCACAGGGCAATTGCCCCAAGACGAAGCTCGCGCCAAGTTAGCAAAACTGAGGGCTCCCAGCTATACCCTCGAAAACGGGAGGCTTTACAAGAGATCTTACAACGGCACCCTCCTTCGGTGCCTTCATCAAGATGAAGCCGAAGTCGCCATGGAAGAAGTGCACAGTGGCACTTGCTCAGCTCACCAGGGACCCTTCTCCATGTCCCGAAGGCTCATTGTTCAAGGTTACTTCTGGCCCACGATGGCTAGGGATTGTGCTGATCTAGCCCGGAAGTGCACCGCTTGCCAACACTTTCAGAAGGCCCCCGGCAGACCAGCGGTCAACTATGCCCCCATCAGCACCGCTATACCCTTCTCCAGATGGGGTATTGACCTAGTAGGCCCTCTGCCGAGGGGTACCTCCAACAACAGGTATATCATTGTGGCCATTGACTACTTCACCAAATGGGTAGAAGTCGAACCCCTCGCCAGCATCACGGAGGCCCGGTGCCGTCACTTCGTCCTCAAGAACATTCTCACAAGGTTCGGCGTCCCCCAACAAATCATCTCCGACAACGGGACTCAATTCGAGGCAGCCCCCTTCTGTGCCCTCCTTGAGGCTTGGGGCATCAAACACACATTCTCTTCCGTTGCCTACCCTCAGGGCAACGGGCAAGTGGAGAACGCCAACCGAACCCTCCTCGAAGGATTAAAGAAGAAACTGGAAGCCGAAGGGGGAGGCTGGGTAGAAGAGCTCCACAACATCTTATGGGCCTACCGCACCACCCCTCGGCGCGCAACCGGCGAAACACCCTTCTCCCTATGCTATGGCTTTGAGGCAAAGGCTCCAACAGAAGTGACCCTTCCCACCCGAAGGGTGGAACAATATGAGCCCGAGGCCAACGACGCCAACATGGCCCTCGACCTTCATCTCATCTCGGAACGCCGAGAGCAAGCTTTCCTTAGGGCCGAAAACTATAGGAGACAAGTCAAAGGATACATTGACGCCAAGGTCCGCTCCCGGGAATTCCAGGTGGGAGACTACGTCCTCCGGCGAAGGGAGGCCAGTCTACCCACCGAAGGAGGAAAAATGGCACCCAAGTTTGAAGGCCCCTACATTGTCTCAGCCATCATCAAGCCAGGAACATACAAGCTTAAACGCCCCAATGGGACGGAGGTCCCTAGACATTGGAATGTGCACCACCTTGTCAAATTCTATCAATAAGGCATGAGCGGCCAAGCCCTCATCCTCAGCAAGTGTAAATATCAACGGCCCAAGGCCCCATCTGTTTTTGAAGAATAATCACAAGGCCAAGCCTTCATCAAACGGCCCAAGGCCCCCTTCCCTCCCACACATGAGTGGCCAAGCCCTCATCTCTCCACCAAAATAGGCCCAGTGCTTCTCCCTCTGATGAGGGGGAACAACAATTTAGGTACCAAGTACCAAACGTATGGGTCACCCCCATCACCTTTTGAAGACACCAAGTGTTTTCGCACTAAGCCGTACCCCACGAGGACGCAATCATGCATACATTATGCATACTTATACATATTCTATCCTCCTAAAAAAAAAAAAAAAAAAAAAACCGGGGGGTGCAACACCCCTCGGCTCCGGCTGGTACCAAGTGCCCCCGGCTATTTGTGTTCCACACGCAAATAAAACCCTTCCCAGGAACGCTTTCCGCGCCATCCCCCAAGGGGAGGCAGGCAACGGACCATGTCCCGGGCCCAGGATTCGACTTCCACAAACGAAACGCTCCCCGCGCTATCCCCCAAGGGGAAGCAGGCAACAGACCATGTCTCGGGCTGAGGGGACGACTTTCAAAACCGAGGCGCTTTCCGTGCTATCTCCCAAGGGGAAGCAGGCAACAGACGATGTCTCGGGCCGAGGAAACGACCCTCAAACCCTTCGGGATATCGGAAGGTCATTCCCGAAGGGGGAGCCAACGGTTCATTCCGTTGCCTCCCATATAGGCCAAGCCTTTCCTAGAAACCAAGTTTCCAGATGCCTCTCCTACACCATCTAAAAAAAAAAAAAAAAAAAAAAAGATGTGTAGGGGAGAAGGAACTCCCCGGATACTACTCTCCCCGGAGGCTCAACACTTTGGACATATATTCCCGAAGGATCCTACAAAGACACAAGAAAATCTCCCAACAACAAGTCATCTGGCTACATAGCCGAAGGCTTCACTGCATGAAACATGGGCGTACAAGATTTCCACCGAAGGCCCACCTGACGTGAGAAGAAGGCTCACTAGCAAAACTTCACCTAAATTTGGCTAAGTCCGGAATTTGACTGGACCAAAGCCAACCATGCTTCATGACGAAGGCTGCACAAAGTCTAACTACATCTACCAGGAGCTGAGGGCTTCATGCCGAGGGCAGAAAGCTACCGAACTCACTCAATGGTGAAAAATTTCCTAAGTCCACGAACGGGAACCCCTCGGTGGGCAAACATGGACTTCGCTGCTACCGACAGGCTTAGAGCCGAAGGCAACCTCAAACTACTCGCCAAGGACCTAAAACTGCACTATGAGTCGATGGCTCAGCAACGTCGATGGCCTACGGTGATATTAGCTTAGAAAATTTGCTAAGTCTAATTCATTTTAGCCCTCGGTCTTATCGCTTCAGCATTTCTGGGGGCCCGGAAGTTTTACTTGGATTATTTACCGAGGTTTTTGCACCACATCCGAAGGGTTCTGATCAAGTCTACTTGGAAGATTTTCTAGGTCCACAACGACAAGCTCCCGGCAATGCTACACTACAACCGGGGGCTAGCAAGTGGTTACGCTTAGAAGATGTTTCTAAGTCCTCACGGTTCTGGCCCTCGGGGAAAGAGACAAAGGAGAGGGAAGCATACATTCGCCCAAGTAAAGAAAGGCATACATACATTCATACAAAAATCAAAGAAATGAGGCATTGATTCAGAAAAGCCCGAAGGCAATCATTAATCCACAATAGATATTCAAGGTGCAAAACTGGTGTTCGTTTACATACACGGCCGGGGCCGGAAATTACAAGCTATTACAAAATGGTACTTAGAGAAATTTTAAGATTGGACGTTTTCGGCTCCACCCTCTTTCAACTTTGAAGCGACATCCTCCCCGGCGGCTTTCGAGGTAGCCTCCTCCTCTTCATCATCATCGGCCTCTTTCATCAGCTCGGAGTCTTCGAGATCCGGTCTCTCGACACCCGGGGGGGGGGGGGGGGAACCCTAGTATCTGGCTGGAGGGGGGGAAGACCGTAAGCTTCGGGTTTGAAGTCCTGAGGATCAACGCCGGAATGCCTAGCGAGCCTCCGGTAGACGAGCCATTGGGTAAAAAACTCGCCCCCATCATAGTACTCCTTGCCCTTCCGGGCTAGCCACATCGCCCCGGGGCCACCAACCCAGTCGTCGACGCTTTCCTCGATCACCGAGGCCACCCACTGCCTCCGATCCTCATCTTTCCAGCCTCCGGCAACAAAGGCAGCAACAGCATTTTTCTCGGCCTGAGAGATGGCCACCCTCTTCGCTTCCTCGGCCTCGTCGGCAGCGGTTTTTGCGGCGGCAGCAGCAAGCGTCTCGGCCTCCGCCTTGCCCTCGGCCTTGCCCTCCCTCCGGGCATCCTCCAACCTCAGCTCCGTCTTCCGGAGGGTCTCCTCCAGCGTTGCCATCTTCCGGATGGCCTCAGTATTAGTCACAACGAGCTTCCTCAAAGCCTCGTCGGACTCCGCCTTCTGAAGGCGCAACTGCCCCACCCTTCGGATGTGTTCTCCAAGGGCCACACTGGCCTGCAAACATACAAAGAAAAAACAGAAAATCAGACCACTACGCCAGGAAGAGACTCAACGGCTAAGGGAAGAAAAATAGTGAGACTCACAGTCAACGAGGCCTGGAGAAGCTTGGCGTCCAGGGCAGCGTCGTCATGCCGGCCGAGGGTCGACCTATCCAGTGAAGGAGTAGCCCCATTTAGGAACTCCATCGGATCCAGGGTGCCATGCGTGATGGCAGTCCCTTTCTTGATGGAGAATTGGATGCTCTCCCGGGGCCAGGGCCCATCTTCCATCTGATCCGGGAAAGGCGCAGGGACAGTCGCCGCCACCAGAGGGGTCCCCGAAGAAGAGTGGCCCTCCGAGATGACCAGGGGAGCGTCCTTAGCGCCGGCGACCTTCTTGGGCTTTTTGCCGGGAGCTGCATTACTTTTACCCGGCGCCCTCCTCTTAGCCGCCTCAGTTCGAAGGGTACCAGCACCCTCGGCAACATCTTTGCAGGGTCCCTCGGCCCCCTGGTCTTTCTCAGTTTCCCCCTTCGGAAAAAAGTCGTCTACGGGCCTCTGTTGGGAGGGCCCCCCCTCCTTCAGCTTCTTCTTGGGCTCCTTGGCCAACTGCCTCTTCAACTTAGCAAAGTTCTTCGCATCCATCTCGGGACCTGCAATAAGCACACAAATATTAGATAACAATGGCAAAGCAAGTGAAGAAAAATCCTAAGTACACAACTAGGAGCCTTCGGCACCCACCTTCGGCGCTCTCATAGACTCTGTCTATCGGGGGGTACTCATCGCCAGTCTCGCCCACCAAGCGGAAGCGGCGGAAGCCCAGCAGGAGAAGCTCCTCCGGGAGGGTGGCGTCCTTGATAGTCTTCAATTTATCAGACCCCCCCGGCTTCTTCACCAGCTCCTTCCCATTTTTAGCAAGGGCGGCATTCCCAACCTTAGGGTGTCTTTTGAAATGGTCACGAAGAGGAGCGGGAAAGGGGTTCTCCTCCATCCGGATGAAGCAATACTTATCCTTCCAACCTTTGTGGGAGGAAGGAACCTCGGAGAACAACCTCCACTCCGGGACTTGTTGTAAATTGGCGAAGCCCTCGCTGTTGGCATGGCCCCCCCGGCAAAGGTTGAAGGAAAGGAGAAACTGATCTAGCGAGGCCTCAACTCCCCTTTCCCGGCATAGCGACAAGAATCCAGCCAGATAAGAGTGGCTGTTCGGAGTAATCTGGCAGGGGGCGAGTTTGACGAAGCGCAAATACTCCAACACGAAGGGGTGGAGTGGGAACCGAAGGCCCAACTCCACAGATAGGATGTGCACCGCGAAGCAGCCTTCGGGAGGTCGAAGAAGCACATCATCTGGCCCCGGCTCCACCACCTGTGCCGAGGGCCCGACAAAAAATTGAGTTGCCATATACTCCGCATGGGTGCCCCTCGTCTTCAGTTCGAGCGCAGCCGTGTTCAAGTAAGAGTGGCCTTCAGGAATCCCGACGGGTTGTCCCGCATCAACGGCGACTTGCTTCTTCTTCTTCGAGGCCGCCCTCACCTTCTTCTTCTTCCCGGGAGCCACATTGAGAGGCTCCGAATCAAGGGGCCTAGAACTCCCCGCTCCGACATCGCCGCGGGGGGGAAGGACAGCGAGGGTCACTTTCATCCTCTCCTTCTCTTCTTCCTCCTCGGCAGTTTGGACCGCGAGGGCCATCTCCTCGTCCTCAATCACCTGTTCAAATTCTTCGGCTTCGGCCTCGGTTATGAGCCGTTTCTGGACTTCGGCAGCCACCTGCGAGTCGTTGACGTCCGAGGACTGTTCACTGGAAGACCCCACATCCGAATAACTTTCGGGCTTCTCCGAGGCCTCCTTCGAGATGTTCTGAGAATCGGTTTGCGAAGACATTTTTGTACTAAGGGACAACTTCTAGAAGGGGAAGACTACTTAGTGTTCTAGTCGAAGGCTCCTAAGATCTCTAACACTCGATCTAAAGATAAAAAAGCAAAATATGCCAAGGTAGTAAGAAACGGAGCAAGTACTGACCTTGTGACTTAGGTTTTGATCGGAGGAAATACTTTATCTCTCTAGAAATTTTGGCAGAGCTCCGCTATCACTCAAGTTCGCACAAAGGAAAATGAATTCGGCTTGGGGTATTTATAGGCTCTCAGCCTCGAGAACTGGGCCTCGATCTTAAAAGGCCATCATTACGGGCCGCCGGTTCAACCAATGGGTGGCACCCGCCCCCCATCTGCCAACGACGAAGCGCCACGTGGAACCCTCTTCTAACGGCTATATTACAACGACTATATTTCGGCAACACTGGGGTGCCCTCGAATGATAGCCTCCGGCTATCACTCACCACAGCCTTCAGCCAATGAATTCCAACATAGCGCCTTCGAGCTGGCAGCAACAAGAGCCTTCGCTTTTCAATATTGCCACTCCTCGACGCGTATATTGGATGGCAGCCCCCGGCTACCACCTGCGAGAGGCTTCGAGCAGATAATAGTATAAGCTTTCGGCTAACCCCTCGGGGAACCCAACAACACATTATAACTCCTTCAGCCCGAACTCGCCTTCGGCCTAAAGGAGTGGGGGACTGGGACACACCCCTCGGAATCACACCCTTCGGCGGAGACAGAATATCAAAAGTTTTCCACGTCACTTGCGGAAATGAAGCGGGAAGCGGCCCTCATCACAACACATGCAGGCAATACATCTATGCTTTCCCCAGAAAACCCTCGACATGTGAGGGACTGGGGAAAGCCTTCTGCAGTCATACAGGTGTTATACTGCCCTCAGAAAGCCCTCGACATGTGAGGGACTGAGGGGAGCCTTCGGCAATCAGCAGAAAACAAGTTCTCCAGCAAAGGCACCCAGCGAAATGATGAAGCCTCCAGAAGAATCAACACATCTACTCCTTTTCCCTCAAGTACCTTTCGGCAAAAGGAGTGAGGGACTCCTGATGGAGTATATGACCCAGGAACCCCCGGCCCATAGACTCCTACTTCTCCTACACAAGTCCATTGAGCCCAGAGAACAACTCAGGCCCAAATACAACGGCCCAAGCCTCAAAGTAGCCCAGAATACACCCTGGGGTGCCTTCGGCCTCCTTGGCCGAAGGCTCCAAAACTCACAGGATAGCCTTCTCTGGCATAAGAAGCTGCTGGGAGAAAACGGGCGAAAACACGAGCCTTCGGCATTCTCATGCCCCGGCACCAGGGGAAGCCTTCGGCTGATCCAAGCATTCGGCTACACGAGGAGCCCTCGGCTGCACAAGGAGCCTTCGGCTACACGAGGAGCCCTCGGCTGCACAAGGAGCCTTCGGCTACACGAGGAGCCCTCGGCTGCACAAGGAGCCCTCGGCTACACAAGGAGCCTTCGGCTGAACAAGCCCAATCATCGAAGATTCCTTTTAGAGACAGCCAACCACCGCATTTAATGCCACGTCGCATCCGCCAACCGCATTCAATGCGGTTGACGTACCACTGCCGGTGCCACCAGGCTGATGTGACCCTTCGGCCGTTGGATTACTGACACGTGTCCTCTCATCGCATTTATTGCTGCTATAAATAGCAGCCCATTTCTCCTTGTAATGGACATCATCTACATCTCAACTCCACATCTCGAGTTCATTTAATAAAATCGACTCTCTCTCCTCCTATTTACTCTGACTTCTCTCTAAGTTATTCCCGTAATAACCCCTCGGAAAGATACCCCCCGGGTAGACTATCCATCAGGAATATAGCACATAAAAGATATTAAGCATACATACTTCCCTTTTCAAATGCATTTTCCTTGATACTTAATTATTTAGTTCAAATAAATTGAACTAGTTATCAAATCATATAAATAAGCATACAGTGATGAAGTACTAACAGATTGAGCAAATATAGCATTCTGAATTATATACATCATGAGGAAATATAATTAAGTTCAATATTTTAATAGGTTATAGATATGACATTTTAAAGATATGTACTCCAATGATCGAATACATTATTATTATATCAACACAAATCAAGATACTCTTATAATGATGTTTTTTTTTCTTTTCACAAAACTATTATTATATGCACACAATCATTTCATCAAATCCAAACCTAAAATGAAATTTTCATATTGCAATGGTGTGGTAAAGGAAATCCGATCATTTGGTTGTTATTTACGGTCAATAAAGTGCTACCCATATAATATGGCATGCAACTAGGCGAAGTTCTAGAATACCTGGATAGCAAATTACTGAAGGTAAGTACTCCGTATTATTCACTAATATTACTTGCCGCTGGTGTGGAGTATACTGCAACCCGAGGAAGCCACCACCGCATTGTTTGCCGTTGCTAGATCATCGTCCAAAACTCATGTTAACATCGATCTGATATGCTTGCTGAATCCGACTAGATCCGGAAGCCCAAGATGATACAGGATTTTGTCCAAGCCATCGCCGGTGGCGCTCTTGCGGCAATCTTGGCGTTCAACATTGTCACGCCGCCATAAGGGGTTGTAATAGAGAGACCAAAACGAAGACAAAACAAAAAAAAAGGCACTGGTTACCCACGAAACAAATCTCTCTCAAACTAATCGTTTAGAAACTCATCGTTGCTAAGCAATCATCATTCATCAATGCCGCAAGAATGTTAGTGACCGACAACACGAGAGAAAGAAAAATAGGTTTTGAGCTCGTGCTGATAACGTGTTATAAACCAGAATCAAAGGATACTTTCATTCACATATGAGGATCTATATATATACATGAGGGGAGTTAGGGCTACATCATATATATAGATCCTCATATGTGAATGAAAGTATCCCTTTGATTCTGGTTTATAACACTTATTGTATTATTACTCTAAAAATTATAAGTGAAGCTATTTATTGATATGGAGAACTAATACATTGAGATATGTTAATGTGTAAACATGCATGTCTCTAACTATGACTATCGAAAAACCTTTCTCGTTTCACTTGGTACATAATGGTGCTATGATTAGTATGACCCTTAAAATATGCTGATCCCCGTATCTGAACAATCTTATCACTAAATTTCCTTCATCATATGCATACTCAGTAGTATAGAATAGTAGAATGTTGTATTAGAACCCCTTGAGCATTTCTTTTCCAAATTCCGGTCAAACTTCACCTTCAATGCAAAACTTCAAATGGCCTCGCTAAATTTATGGCTCGATGGTGCTAAGCAAATGAGTTGACCACTTTGTAGCTCACATTCAATGGTTGTCAAAAGATCGGTAAAATATTAATCTAGAAAATGGTGATTATTACTCGAAGTATCAGGGCCTTGACACTGGAACTGAAGTACCATGATGGTTTTGCAAATATCTCCTTCAGAGTAATTGACAAATCTCTCTCTACCAATTAGGTATCAATTTTTGCTTGTTCTGCGGTACAGACCTACAAAAGTACTATTGAGGACAACCAGATGAAAGAAAAAACCCAATATATTTAATATGTTTGGGTAGGAAAAGTATACCGTGTGTGCAAATGGAAGGAGCCTTACAGGTGGAACTACAAAGCATAGCTCTAGCATATCCAAATTGTTTGGACTTTGGAAGAACAGGATTGTCACCTGTTACATTTACATGCATTCAAAGTGATGAGTAAACTTCGAAAGATCACATCATCATGAATAAAACTTAAATCACATAAACTGTCTTACTATTGCTAGTGAAAATTTAGAAGTGAGATTAATAAATTCATAGAAAACTAAAACGGGAATCAAAACCAAAATTTTAAAACCGAAATGGACGAACAAAAAAACGGAGCGGAGCCGAACCTCTTGTAGATCCGCCGGTTTGCGGGGGATGGCCGAACAATTCAAGAAGGGATTTGGTGGAGCCGCTCATGGTGCTGAAGAAGAATTTTTAGTTTACTGCTATTTTTATTTTTTTCGCAGTTAATCAGACTATGCTTTATTTTGTCGTTATTTCTTTCAATTGTAAGACTCTTGTATTAGGATTGTGTGAAGTTTGGTTTGATTCAATCGTTTGTGGCTCAGGTTTGCCCATTAATGGATCAACGAGTTATATTGCTTGTTTGAAGGTGATTAACTCCGAGTTTGGTTCGTGAGCTGACAGTTGTATGTGGTTCCTTACTTTTTTTTATTTCCTTTCTGAATGCTAATGCTTTGAAATCAATTTAAGGCCCCCTCTTCAAAAAAAACTATCAACATGCTTCCAGCTTTTAATTTTTAAATGCTTAAATTAGGTAGAAACATTATCAGCTTTTTTAAGTACTAATATCAGCTTTTTTTAGTGAGAAACTTAAAAACATTTTTTTAACGATTCCAAACACTCCCACAATAACTTCAGCATTTCTTTGAAACTGTTTAATCCTCCCGTTCCCTTCTTGATAGTTCAGGTCGGAACGGTCCAGTCGTCTGCTACTACTATCTCCGCTCAGGGGTGAAAATTTTCACCACCTGGCTTTTCTGAACTCTAAATATCGTCTGATACAGTTTTTTTTCTGAACTCTAAATAAATCATCATTTCTTTATGCAGGTACTCCATTGAACTTGAAATTTTCCGCCATGGACGTGGCTCATCTTCAAGCTAAATGCACTTCATCTCCGTTCCGTTCTCCTGCCCAGCATCGCCCTTTTGCCCTTTCTAGGGTTTCCCATTTGTTGCTCATATATCCCGGTGGTAACAATTTACGCCGTTGGAAGAAAATGTGCTCAGCTTCGAACTTTCAAACCCTCGTTGCTGGTTCGCCCAAGAAGAAGGAAAGACCGCACGAAGTTGTCACCTTAAAGGAAGAAGAGGACTTAAAATCCTGGATGCACAAGAACGGACTCCCTCCTTGCAAGGTCGTGCTTAACGAAAGGCCCTCGCACAATGTTAACCATCGCCCCATACGCTACGTTGCCGCGAGCGGTGATCTTCAGGTTCGGAGTGGAAAAGTTGCTTCTTGATTTTGAATTTACTTTGTTTGTTTTCTTAATTTCTTTTTCTTTTTCTTTTTCTTTTTCACTTTGTTATCTCAGACGGGTGATATTGCGTTTTCTGTACCAAATACGCTGGTTGTAACACTGGAGAGGGTTTTAGGAAACGAGACCGTGGGTAAGGTGTTAAGATCTCATCCATGTTACTGTGTACTCCCTCCATTTTTTCCTTTTATTTCTATCCTTATAAGATTGTCTCATATCAAATTGTTAATGTTTGTATGGTTCTATATGGTTCTTACCTTATTCTTCATTTAAATGCCAACCACATACATTCATTAATTCATTTCTCTTAATAAGTGCGCCACCTCATTTACCAAACTTAGCTGGATGGGGTAGTATTAACTTTTTCTTTGTTTGAAGGTGCTATTGTTATCAAAATCATGCAATTATTATAAATGTGTGTGTACCTCCAAGCAGACTTAGTCTTCTCCTTATATAATTTCTGATGCAGCTGAACTGTTGACGACGAACAAATTATCAGAACTAGCTTGTTTGGCACTATATATCATGTATGAAAAGAAGCAAGGAAAGAAGTCCTTTTGGTACCCATATATTAAAGAGCTTGACCGTCAACGAGGCAGGGGGCAGCTAGCTGTTGAGTCTCCTCTCCTATGGTCAGAATCTGAACTGAATTTCCTCACAGGGAGTCCGACAAAGGTATTTTAAGCCCCTATCTGTTGAGAGTTGAGGTTGAAATTTGTTTTCTGTCTATTCATTTTTAATGGGATGTTATGATAATTAAGGGTGAAGTCCTCAAGAGATATGAAGGAATTAAGAGAGAATATAGGGAGCTTGATACAGTATGGTTCATGGCCGGATCACTTTTTAAGGTTCATACTTTCATGGTCTATGTTTTGGAAATTTTCATCATTCCGCTATTTGGGATTAGTGGACTTAATCCTGATACTGATTGTTTAGGGGTTATATGCAGCAATACCCGTATGATATACCAACAGAAGCATTTCCTTTTGAGATTTTCAAACAAGCTTTTGTCGCAGTCCAATCCTGTGTGGTGCATTTGCAGGTTGTCTTGATTGAAATTTTGTTGATTGTACTTTTTCTTGCATCTGATTGAAGAGTGCCTAGTTCTGTCTTTGCTAGAACCAGGAAAATTATTATTGTTCTTTATGAATGTTCATATTAGTTTCCTTTTATCAGTGTCAGTAATCGGAAAGTTTCTTATTATTGTTTATATTCTATTTTAGTTATCTTCTCAAATCTATTAGTTTAGGGATCTAACAATTACTAACCAAGATTCTTGGAAGTAGTATAGATTGAGGGTTTTTATTCACTATTAAGAGATGGTGTAGTATAGCAACCATGTAAGCTTAAATGCAGAGTCTGTGCCAGTGCGCCTAGTATTCATCTTTCAGTAGGGAAAGAAGCCTCAGTTCTTTCTTCGATCCTCCACAGCATTCATTCTTCCTCTTATTCTTCTTCCCCTTCATCTTTTATCCACTATGTCTTCAACAACATCTTTTTGTACTTTATATTATTGTATTTGATACTTACAGTTTTCTTTGCAATCAGAAAGTTAGTCTCGCTAGAAGATTTGCACTAGTTCCTCTAGGACCACCATTACTATCCTATAGCAGCAACTGCAAAGCAATGTTAGCAGCTGTTGATGGTGCTGTGCAACTTGTAGTTGATCGTCCATACAAGACTGGAGAACCAATTGTTGTTTGGTATGGACTCTGCAAACTTTACAGAACTTCACACTTAAGTCCTCTGCCCCTCTATCATGTTCTTCTATGCTGGCAATCTGCATAACATATCAGGATTGACATTCTTTTTGTTCATGTTATCAATGCAATATGATTTGCTTCTTAAACATCGAATGATGCATGTATGTAGGTGCGGACCACAGCCTAATTCAAAATTGTTCATAAACTATGGTTTTGTTGATGAAGACAATCCTTATGATCGAGTCATTGTTGAGGTAATTTTCCTGTTCCTCTTTTCTTCTCTTCTATTGACTTCATGCGAACATTTTCAATTTATAATATAAAGCTTTCACTCGCTCAGGCTGCACTGAATACTGATGATCCTCAGTATCAGGACAAGAGACTGGCTGCTCAAAGAAATGGAAAATCAGCTGTGCAAGCTTTCCATGTACACTTTGCTTTGCATTCTTTTTCAAATTACTTTTCTTTCAATATTGTAAATGGTTTCGGCCTCGTGTCAAAAAATGATGAAGGCTTGCTCCCTACATACCCTTGGGGTGGGGCCCTTCTCCGCATCCCCGCCTTGCCAGGATGCCATTATGCACTGGGCTGCCCTTTTATTGTTATTGGATTCATTACTTTACTTATTGATCCAGGTATATGTGGGAAGAGAAAAAGAGGCTATTCAGGAGATGCTTCCCTATTTACGATTAGGACATGTTTTGGACCCTTCAGAAATGCAATTTGTCCTGTCTTCTCAAGGTCCGGTTTGTCCGGTGAGTTTATCTTTTTGATTAATGGTTGTGTTATTTTTCTTACTCTTCTCAGTGTTGGTAAATATTGAAGGATGAAAAATTTTGGCATCTGCCAGAATTCTGACTTTACTTGAGCTTATCCAATAGGTGAGCCCATGTGCAGAACGTGCAGTTCTGGATCAGCTAGCTGAGTATTTCAACAAAAGGCTACTTAGCTATCCCACCACTCTTAGTGAAGATGACACATTGGTAATCTTCCTGG